CCTGCCTGGGAACGGCAAGAGCTCCATGGCACCCATCAGACATGGGATCAGGGCAATCCCTTCCCCTTTTCTGGACAAGAGATGCTTTAGTTTGCAGAGTCCATCCTGAGGGCGACTGAGGACAGCCTCCTTGTTCTCAGAGAAGGACAGATGCAGCTCTTTCCCAGACCACACCAGCCCAGATGAGCTGTCACCCATGTGTTTGTTAAAGGAAAAAAGAAAAGAGGGAGAAAATAAGATTCTACCTGAGTTCAGTCACCCAGGGCCCAGCTCAGGAGGTTGGTTAAAATCCTCAGTTGTCTCTGAGGCTGGGCCCAGCAGGGTGGGCCACATGCCCTCCTCTCCTGCATCTCGAGGTCACTTCTACTGCAGGAGGTGAGACCACCCCCCACCCCCAATAGAGAAACATCAGGGAGTAAGTATACTTGTGCCTTCCTGGCCAAAGTGAGGAATAGGTATTCACTGAAGGCCCGATTTCTTTCCCCCCCCAAAGACTTTTTTGGCTAAGTCCCGGTGCTTTCCTGAACTTTCTACCTTATTTCCCCTGGACCCTCTGTGGCTCAGCAGGTTTTCTTTTCTGTTCTTTTTTTCATGTCCAGATCACTAGCAGCCACTGTGGTTTTCAGGATATTGATGACCACATTTACAGAGTGCCCACAAGGCACCAAGGGCTCGCACAGGAACTCAGTGGTTAAGTCACCCATCCCCCACTGTTCAGGTGAGTTACAAAGCTGGGAAGCAGGGGGTCTGCAGTTTGAACTCTGTGTGGCCTCGAAACTCATGCTCTTTCACCCCAGCAGGCCCCCAAGAGGCTCCAAGAGCTTCTGGAATTTTGACCAACCCTGCCCCATGGGACAACAATGTGACTTCCCTGGCTATCACTTTCCCTCCTCAGAGGGGCTTTCGGCGCTGTCCTGGATCGTGGCCAGGAAAGCGAGAATTACATTTTACATTTCACAAGGGAGAGACTAAGGAACAGCCAGGGTCACTTGCCTGAAGCCCACAGTAAGATGGCCCTGGACTGCACCTCCTCACCAGCCCCTCTTACCTCCAGAACAAGAGAAGGCTCGGGGCTCCTCTCCACCGCACCCCACAGGGTCTCAGGTGAGCAAGGGAAGTGGGGGGCTTGCATTCCATCTACACATAATACTGTGAATCACCAACCGCCAGGAGAGGCTTTTCTGAGCACCTCCAGGCTCAGAATGAAGACGTCGTGTAGCCTGATGCTCCAGGTCGAGACATGCAAACAACCAAGTGCTGTCTTCTCCCTGGGCTTCTTCACATTGTCTTCCCTCCACATCTGTCTCTGTGAACAGATTTCTCCTCTTGTATGATGACCCTCTCAGGATTAGGGCCCACCCTAGTGACCTCATTATGACTGGATTGCCTCTGTAAGTATCCTATAGCAACTGAGGTCATATTCTGAGGGACTGGTGGTGAGGACTCCAGCATATCTGCTTTTGTGGGTTACACTTCAGTCCCTGCACCATGGACAGAGCCGAAGCCCCCAGGACAAAGGGTCAGGGACGGGACCCGATGTGGAGGGAGACGGGAACCACCCCTGAAAGAGCCCGAGAGACTATGGACCAGCTGCTAGAGCCGTGTGCACTCTGCCGCCCTTGCCCTGACACAAGGACTGGGGAGCACACATGCACTTGGGGGTGACCCCAGGGGGAAAGGGAAGAAGGAAAGCCAATGCAGGGCACAGTGTGAGATGGTGGCCCCTGGGGGCAAGTGGGCCCAGTCTTGCCAGGACCTTCCAAGGAAGGAGGTAGAAAGCATCTTCAAAGGGATGCATGAGGACATAGAATAGTGGGCTTTCAGCCACTGACTTCTGTCCCTCTGGCTGAGGGTCCCTGGTCCTGTGCAGGCTGAGCAGGTGCCAGTGGTGCCTGGAAGCCTCAGGCCGAGGGGCAGCGAGAAGTGCGCAGGAGATCGGGCAGGACAGAACCACTGCCCACCTGCTCTTCCCGCCCCTTCCCTCCCCCGCAGCCAGAGACCACACACAAACCGGTGATCTCTCGGCATCTTTCCAGTTCCAGCTCCACGTATCTCCATCTGCAGACTGCCTGCCCGGGTGTTCCAGGTGTGTGGGGTGAGGGGGTTCATGTGTGTGGTGTCCATGGTATATGTTTGTGTGTCATGTCTGTGTTTGTGTGTGGTGTTTGTGTGGTGTGTTAAGGGGGAGAGTGTGCTGTATATGATGAATGTGTATTTGTGTGGTATGTGTATTTGTGGGGCAGAGTATGGTGTGTGTGATGTGTGTGTGAACGTGGTGTTTGTGGGGGGAGAGTGTAGTGTGTATGATATGAGTGTGTGTGTGGTGTGTGTATGTGAGGGGGTGTGGTGTGTGTGATGTGAGTGTGTGTGTGGTGTGTGTATGTGAGGGGGTGCAGTGTGTGT